GAGCAGTTGTTGGCTCGGCTTGAAGCTTCAGAGAAAGAGACGGCGGTCGCGCGGGTGAAGGCTGCCAACTTGACGAAGCAGATGAAGGCTCAGGACGCAAAGTCGCAAAAGGAGGCGGAGGCCGCAAAGGCAGAGCTCTTTACCACAGAAGTTAGCTCCGTTGGTGCCATCTTGCTGTGTTCGACTTTGCTTGATTTTTGGAACCCGGGATTCAATACCCTTTCCCTTGCCTACATCAGCATCTGTTTTTTGGCGGCGGGAGGTTGTAATGATATCATGGCTCGGATCGTAGCTTCTCAGGAGGAGACGACGGCGGCAAGGATGAGGAATAAGACCAAATGCGTTTGCGCTCTTGCCACCCCCGGTCTGTGTCTAGTGCTCCCATGCTCCTACTTTTTTGACTACCCAAACCGTTTAATTTTTTATTTGGCGATGCGTGGCTGTGTTGGTACCTTCGCAGGACGAATCGCTTGGCAACGCGTGGTTACATGATGAGCAGACCAGGTGTATGCTTGTTATGAGAAAATTGTGGGGAAGTAGGACCCGGGAGGACGGCACGGCCCCCGTGCAACTGGTGGTACGACGCGCCGTCCGCCATAGAAGGACAGTTAAGCCAGGTTCCAAAAGCAGAAGGTTGTGGACATGTATTTAGGCCCTGACGCAACGTCGGCACATGACACCTTGCACAAGGCCCTAACCTTGTTGGCACCTTGCACGAGGTTGAATGTACACAACCTTCCACTTTTAATCTGTATTGTGTGCTCTTTGTCTCGGGCAACTGCCCGCCCGTAGATTGACGGATTACGGGGGCGGTATTTTGGGGGACCATGGGCTTGAATGGGGGTGCCTTAGAAAGGAAAAGACGGTGGGCGTTTCTCTCTAGATGTGATGTTGACCAGCAATGCCGTACTACGATTGCGTGCCGGAACATGCGCCAGACAGCTTTACCCTAACCACTTCGGTGGAGAGCGGGGTTCTGGTCGATACGCTGTCGGGAGTGGAGGGGGGGCTCTTGGCCCATGGCGGTGCAGGTGGCGAGACCGCAGGGTCGAGGCGTTGCGGAGATGGCGTTTTGGGGGGAACATGGGAGTTGGTGTGATTGATTTGCTCAGGACACATGATCGGAGGTTCACCGTAGTTGTCGACTGAAAGTTGCTCGACGTGCGAACAAACTGTATGATGAGCGAATGTCAAGGATTTTGGTTTGCCTGGAAGTTCATTACGGAAGCTGCGATTGAGTGTTTTTGGTACATGTGCATCCAACTGCAATTGTCGGACGACACACGAAAAGTAATGATATACCCGTTGTCGAATTACTGCACTTTGCTAGAGGAGGCGCCCTTCACCATGGGCGGGAGGCTGAATGATGCCCAGGGGAAAGTGGTCTTTCGGAGCCAACAAGGACTTCGAGAGTCATCAGAAGTGGACAAGGGCAAGACGTGCTCACCACCCGCTTCCTAGGGTTGAACTTGGTCTCGCTCTCTCTCACTCATTGCTCTCTATTCCCCCTGGCCGGTATACTCCTTGTCGATGGTGCATATTCTACTGCCTCTCGTTCGTCTCTCATCACAGGCAAGCAAGTTGTCCATGACAACGTTCGCACCGACTGTTTGTGTGTCCGACGCGATGTAAGCTCGTCCCTCACGCGCGGTCCCTCGCATCCAAAGGCCGCAAAAAATGAGTAACACTTTCTGTCTCGTGAACGAAGCAAGCAATTCTGGGACAGCTGCCTCTTCTCCCACGGGCAGGGATGGAGTGGTGCGACCTTTGCCCGGTCGGTGTTCTGTCGGTAGCCTTGGGCTTCCAGACCGTTGGACGTAGACATTCACTCATTAAATTTTCATGGGAGTGAAACTTCACTCTCGTTAGAATCACCGTCACTCCCAAGAATATCCCAGTAAAAGCGGATTGCCGACTTCTTGTGCTAAACCTTTCATGAGAGCGACGACGTTCACCCTCACGAGAGTGGCCTGAACGCTACCTTGCACGCCCGGGCATGACGTCCATGAACAGCGTTTCGTTTTCATTCTTCGGCCTACACAACATCCACCCGACACGAACCCGTACACTCCCATCAAGGTAGCGTTGATGAGGGATGGCTCTAGGCGTTCGTTGTGTTCTACAAGTCACAGAGGGTGGTGGGTGCGGTTAAACCTCGGCTCCGCCCCGCAGTGCCAGTCAATTACATGAGAGCGGGTTATTCACTTTCTTCATGAGAACGCACCCCCAATACTTTCATGAAAGAACAACTTTACCCCGGTGAAAGTGAGCTTGGCACTCGCATGAGAATGAATCCTTTTGTCGAGTAGTGTCCGAGAGTGGTTGGTGATCACTTGGAAAAGCGGTGAATGAGAGGACGCTATGCGTTGGTCAGGGTGCGCACGCAATACACACCATCCGTATTGGCCACCTCACAACTGCACCGCAAACTGCGGCGGAACCAACTCTGGAGAGGAGAACCACAACCACGCAGAAGGTATCCGTGGCACCCGCGGCAACGGACAGGCTGCGCTGCGAGAACTCGAGTCGAAGTACAGGAAGATCACCAACGAGACCATTCGCGCACAGCAGGAGGCGCTAGCGGCAACAAGCATGAAAGAGGGACAAGACCCGGACGAATACACGAACGAAGCCACGCGGCTTCGTGAACTCCTGAAGGAAATGGGGGAGCCAATCACGGACCGGCACTTCATGAATATTGTTCTACAAGGCTTGACCGCTGAATACAGGGATGTCAAGCTGATGACCTGGAAAGATCCAGACTCCGATCTTCTCAAGATGCAGCCTGTGCTTCGCCACCTCTACCTAGATGAGGTATCGGGCAAAAAGTCGTCTTTGGACGACTACCGCTATGACAGCGACATCGGCGCCGAGAAAGGGAGCAATCATCTCCCCCAACTGCGGCATTGCCGGACACTACAAGATAGGTTGTGCCATGCCCAACAAGACCAACGACAAGAAATCTGGAGCTGTGTCTCAGCCCTGGAATCCTCGCCTACACCGCACCAGCTCGACGTTGAAGGGCAACGAAAAAGGAACGGCAACGCCGGGCAAGCAGGCAAGGAACGTCCCCCCTACTGTAGTATTCACTTGCTGGAGAATAACGGTGTCGAAGTAGTGGTGCAGCAGTCGTCGGAACCCGTCCTCAACATCGGCGACGTTTCCGTCAAATGTGTTGCCTTTGGTTGCCTCCATGCCGGGTGGGGCAGCCCGAAGCTGCCGATTTTCTCTCTGAAGCTTTCGGTGATCTGTCGAAGGTTAAGAAGGGAGCTGGCGTGTTTGATTGGTGGAAATTTCGATCTCTATATAAAAGTTCATACCTACAGGTGAAGCCGAAGGGCAGCGGCGCTATAATGATCGAGGATGGTACATAATTTCAACCTTTGAAGAATCATCAACCACCGGGTTGTACCACGGGCTCGCACTGACTCCGAAACGCACCGCGCAGCTAACCGTGTGACCGGGACTGCCCAAGAGCCACTCTCCGGTCAAGTCGATCCACCTCCCTACCTTTCGGTTGTCCGCCTTCTCCCCATACTCCATGGCAGCTCCTGTATGTACTCGACGAAGTGGTGAGACGTGTTTCATGCGCGGCGACGGCGGGAGAGCATACGTTTCATTAGGGCCTCGTTTGTCTCACGTAAGGTCAACAGAAATGGCCCCAGACAGCGGGTTGGAAAGCGATCAGTTCGATACGATGTCCAAACTAGAATCGAAACAATAGACGGTCCTGGCCCGATTCCTTGGTGCCAACTAACCGGTTCACAGGGTATTCTAGGCCGCCGGCTAGAAAAACACGGCCCACATGGAAGCTACGACTACATCATACAAAGTCTTGACGTTCGGCGTTTTTCAGGCTCAAACATTTCGAAACGTGATGTTAACACGAGTTCATGTCATTCTTGCGTCTTCTTGCCTCTCTACACCATATGGCCGTACCCAACACGATACAAGCAAAGACTGGACATACCATTTAGCGTAGTGTTTCAGGCGGCGCTCGCGCAGGGTCGTCGCGATGATCCCACATTTGCCGGTCCCTGAAGAGAAATTCCAGCCGCTGCAAGGGTCGGGATTTCGTGTCTTGCCTGCCTTTGATCTCCTTCAGGCGTGCTCTGTACTCTAAAAGAAGCGAAAGACCACCGAGGCTGTCGTATGGGTCCTTGTTCTTCACGCCCACGTTGAAGATCTGGCAAGAGCTTAGCTTCGAAGGACAAGTGCAGGAGCAAGGTTGATCCGAAGGGGTGGGCCGCGGTATCTGGTTAGCTGCTTCCTTAGCTGGGCCGTGACTGTTCATATTCTGTAGTGGATGACCTTTTTGTGCATTCATGTTCCCGCGACCTTCGGTCATCGCTACTCTCTCGGTGTTTCGACCACGCTTTACTCCGTCGGTGACGAACCGTGACATAATTTCGCATCCTTCTAGCTGTTCGGTCCATGCACCCAGGTTATACAATCTGCGAGAATGGCCAGAAAGGCAAGACGTGTTTTTCTTGTTCGTCGCTTCTCCGGTGGTTATTGCCTCAGAAAGCATTGTGTTTGCGAGGGATGGGTCGATACCTCCATGCTCGCAACTGCCCCCCAGGATCTCGATTTCTACTTACTTTAGTGCTGCGCCCGAACAGGGAGCCCAGTTGAGTCTTGGAGGTCGCGTGATCGTACGATCCCTGCGTGTCGACCAGCAGCACCGCCATGTCGGGTCTCTTCCCACTGGGCGTTCGTTTTACCAACGACTCGGACCGTATGGGCGTGATGAACGGCTCGGACCATGCATGGACATGCCTTGAGTGTGGGGGTCGAAGCCGCCATTCCAGGAGAACCCGCAGTCGTCACCGTCGCCGCCTGGGAGTGTGCCCTCGAATGGTTCGCTGCGTGTAAACCAGACACGCGCCATCGGCTCACGTCAAGTTGCCGGCATTATGTTCCGGAACGAATCCCGGTGTCGATCGACGCTGCTCATGAAAGAGAAGAGTTCTACGTACGTCAGCTTCATTCGAGTAGACGCACCCCTAGTTTGGGGCTTCATTGGGGATGGGCAACTGCTAGTTGATGTTCAATCTTACGTACGACCACTTACATATCGTGGCCCTTGCGGCTCAGCAGGAACCAATACGGAGAGAAGATTTCCCGGATCTGAAAGCGCCCGCCACAGAAATGATGGCGACAGGAGTGCCCAAAGGAACATCTTCCATCACCCGCTCGAGATTTTTGTTATGGAAATGGAACGAGTCGGTGCCAATGACACCACCGTTTACCACACTTATGAGCTTCAACGCGCCGGGACAACCCCGCCGGGAGTACGGCGGCCGAAGAGTGCACCACACAAACAATTGGCGCTATGTTGTTGGGTAGACGTTTCGCGATTTCGGGTCCCACCAACGGTGTTGTCTTGGGGTTTCTACCGGCATACAACCACCGTACGTAATGTTGGAGTTTGGAACGCTGCGAAGACTTAAACCAATAATTGAGTGAGGTCGACGGAGCTGCACACATATCGTGTACGTTGAGGTGGCGAGAGAGCCTGCCCTTTCTCGTCGTGTATCAAAGTGAGGTTCTACGGCAGTAGAGTAGATACAGGCCCGGGAGTCTAGAGACTCCTGAATATACTGGGTGGTCGGGAATAAATTGTATACCCATGTATGTGCTATTCTCCGTACAATGCAAACACAAAATAGAGGCAGCTGTAAACGCATACATTGCTCGGTCGGCAAACACGAAGATCCACATAGCTCAACGCTCTGAGCTCTCTGTGATAAATACACAGCGGTCAGATATCGCTCTGTGATCTCCGGGGAAGCAGCCGCGAACATAAGATACCCTGCCTGAACAAACCTTCTTGCAAGTTATCACCGAGGTGCATTATTCACCACTGGCACGCATGTACACGGTGTATTTGGAAGAGTTTGACGTCTCACATTCCGAAACGTTCACAACAAGGTTTTGACACGTGTCGTATGTTCGTCATCTGGTCGTAAAATGTAGCGGCGGGTACCTGATTCGCCTCTTGACTGGAGCTCGGCCCGACTTGTTCGCGGACGGCGTGTCCGACAGCCAGTATTAAGCCCACAGTAGCTGCCTTGAGTCCGAACCTCATCATAGTATACCACGCGGCGGGTTCACCTGGTATCACTACCAAAGCAAAGGAAGCGGGCGCCGCGGTGTAGCTGATGTAGCGGTGCTACGGATCACCTTACATCGGTGCTACTGTACAACAACCAGGCGTCACGAGCCCACAGTCGGGCTATCTTAGCAGTTCGTCGAGGCGCGGGTGGGTGCAGGCGACGAGAGGCACCTTCGCGGAAGCACCGGAAAGTGTGTGACTCGGAACTATGTTATGGACAATACGACGACGCCAAGCCGTCTAACGTCCAGGCGGAGATGTGTTGCTCGCGTTGGAGAAGGAAGATGGAACGATGAGCTGTACTGGCTGATCTATGTGTCAATTTGTACACCCCCGAGTGTCTGAGGAGTGGCGACGAAGCGGAGAAGGTGGAAACTTTCCGGGGTCCAATAACCTGCATACTGATCGGGTAGATTTGATGGGTTTGACATGCTGGATGGTTTGAAGAGCGGAATGCCTAACTTTGCCGGCGCCCGTTCGGGCCAGCTCATCATTTTTTGGTGGGGAATTTGGGGGCAAATTTTGGTGGAGATTCTGAAGTAGAATGCCAAGTAGGGATGCCCTTATCTTTCGCCGACGCTCGTTCAGCCCAGCTGGTGCTTTACCTCCTTTCTCGCGAAAGTTTTCGGAGATTCCCCGCTGTTTTTTTCGCAGAAGAAAATCGTGCTTCCGCCTTCCGCCCCCGAGAGAACCAGGTGTATGTTGCGGTTCGGGCCAACACGGGTCTGAATTGTGCCGCGAAACGATATATCCTCGTGCTTGATTGCTGAGTAGTTTTGCCGAGATTTCGAGGCGCGGCCACGCCGACGTCGATCATTCCCAACTTCCCCCTTCATATCTCAGCAAGTAAGCTTGTACACGTCTGAGCAAGGTCGTACTAACGACGTCCCACAAGCGGCACTAAATTCAAACATCTTCACGGACACTGCGTTCACGACCAAGCTCCACGTCTTTCAGGAGGGTGTTTGTGCGTTTATCAGCAGATCGACAAGCAACATTGTCAGACTCGGTTGCGCCATCGCCATCAGCATCAGACACGCCAGGAACACCGGCCGGGCACTACCGTCATCCCTAGGATCGTTGGAAAGCATAAGGTGAGCGACGTTGTGTGGTTCATTCAGCGTCCTACATTCCAGGAGAAAGCGATTGGTATGGGAGAGAGAGGGGGGTGGATAACATTTGTGACGTACATTTACCGCCGTGTCCATCAAAGATTCACGGCAGTAGAAACTCTCGTTCAACTGGTTCATGTACCACTAAGCAGTCGGGCATATGTAGGGTGCTGAACACCCTCCCCGCCGTCGGGGGCGAATCGCACGCGTCCAGAGTAATCTCCGATTATGAAAAGGGGGCCTAACACAAACAGAATAGTTAGTTGTAAAGCTGATAACAATGTGTTCCCGTGCGCGCAAGAGAGTGTGGAAAGGCGAGACACGGCGTACTCCCTGATGATAACAGGATTGTTTTTCTATCTCTTCAGGTTCTCAACAACGACCCTTGAAACACAAAAGCGTGTACGTGCGTGTATGTTGCCACACGGAACCTCTAAACCACGCCCGGTTTTGACCCGATTCCACACGCCCCAACCCGTCACCTCAACGCTCATCTTGCATCATTTTTCGCGCCCTCACGAAGTATCAGCTTGATTCGTGGACTGTGGGCGAAGTTTCACCGACACGAACCTGGTGCTGCATACTCCCATGTCGCCCTACCCAAAAATAGATACACAACAATCCACACGCTCTGCTCTTCGACGTTGTGCGCAGTTATTGATCCCCGAAACGAATGAGAGCTTGTATGCTTAGCTCGCACTACTACGCAAGAGGCCGGGTCGAACGTTGGGGTCTCAGATTGCATGGTCGTAGATGACACCTTGTTCGCGAATGCAACACGACACCGCAACGTTGGTTCGGCCCAATTCGGCCGCCGCATATTTTGATTTAATTTTGGTTGATTGGTGATCTTTTTCGGGCGATGTGGATGATTTGAAGGACGGTATAGCTGGTATAAAATCAGTAAAACGCTTTGTTTGGGGACGGTTGCAGCCCTGCAAAAAGAGATGGTAGTTGGTGGTGTGCCGGGCACAAGAGGAACGATGGATGACACACGAACTTCATGAGGAGATGAGCAGAAAAAATCCACGCAATTTCTTCCTGCTGAACGGTCGACATCAGCCGCATCAGGGATGATTTATGGGTTCTATAGTTACGGGTGGAGATAGGGATACAATCAGTGGCGCGCTTTGTTTGAGTACTTTTATTTTTTTGAGGGGCTGAGCCCGGTCTTCCCACCAGTGATAAGGTTGGGTTGGAAGGACAAAGTAGGTTCGTCGATGTGAAAGTGAGTTGTCGGTGAAAGCGAAGAAACATACAGGAGATTGTTTTTTTACAAGCGCTCAAGCGGGCGCAAGCGTACAAGCGGCTTGTTTCGGGATAGCTGTATACACAAGCCGACATATAACGTGTGGCTCTTTTTCGGCGTTGGTTCTTTTGTTTGATGTTGGATCTGGGCGAGACTTGAATGGGCATACGGTGTCATATTAGCACAGGAGACGACAAACTAAAATGCTGATCAATTTATGCACATTCCCCGGCGTGCATTCGTTCTTACGCACCTCTGAGGTATTCATACTTTTTTCGGCAAACACTGATGTGATTGGTTTATCTGTGTTGACGATTTTTGAGGTATAGACAGGAGGAGGTATACTACAGCAATGCTGGAATCCCCCCCCGCCCCGCCTACGCAGTGGACTGAAGCTCGGACAGTGCTGCACAATCACACGAAACACTTTCAAAAAAATATCCGGACGTTGCCTACCGCATATTTTTTCCCAACATGCCCTCGCGGGCGCGGGAGCAAGGTACATGTAAATGCGCCAGAGCAGCTGAAAGACTCTACGTAGGGAAAGAGATGCAGTGTATGGATTCCATATTGACGAAAGCTGCTGACGCCGATGATGTACAAAGAACACGACACGAACTCAACGGATGATGAAATCGTAGCTACCTGATCATCCGGTCCCAAAGGAAAAACAATAATGCGAGACGGTGGGTGTGAGGAAAAAGCGGACGTCTCCCAAGTGTTCGGAGGAAAACACGTTGAGCCGTACTGAAGTCAACCGCTAAAGCGCGTCTATGGACGAGGCCACAAATGAAAGACGAAGGTGCCCGAAAAAGAACCCGAAGGCAACGCAAAACAAAGCCACAGATTATGGCGAGAAACCCGACTCCACCGATGCAAGCAATTCAACAGACCACCCAGATGTGAAGGCAGCAAATTCCATTTTCAAGAGAACAATACCAAACGTGTACGTAGGAATCAAATGCAATCCAATGTGTGGTGGAGAGGGCCGAAGATGATGCACACCAAGAAGAGAATCCTACACAACAAAGGAACGCAACCCTGAAATTAGGCGGTTTAACGATAACGAGCAAGCGGTACAACTGGATTCCGTGGCAAGTACGGATTCCGACGGAGCGCACCACCGGCCAGAATTGGCAGTGCTTTGAAGGCGGAGTTCCGCGGGAAGGTTCCGTCATCCACCGTGGTGGACCGTGACGGTTCACCATGTAGTCACTGACGGCTAACCCTAACCCGGGCTCTGCCCGTGGATACCCACGGAGATTATTCCGGCTGACCGGGCGCACCGAGGTGCACCGTATTATTGTTTTTGGCAATGCCCGATACAACCCTACACTATGAACCCTAACCCTAACCTCGAAACTCCCCGAACAACCTCGTGTTTACCCGCATTGTGTGTTCTCTTATTACCTTTGACACTGATTCTCAGTGAGTGACCTTGACACAAGGGGAGCGACGGCGACCGCCATGAGAAGTGTTGCGATTGTACGGCCGCACATGGATTTGCAGCACCAGGTGGAGGCTCTACTTGAAGCTGCACGGGAGGAGACGACGGCCGTACGGGGAACGCTTAAGAGTACGACGGAGCAGTTGTTGGCTCGGGTTGCAGCTTCAGAGAAAGAGACGGCGGTCGCGCGGGTGAAGGCTGCCAACTTGACGAAGCAGATGAAGGCTCAGGACGCAGAGTTGAAAAAGGAGGCGGAGGCCGCAAAGGCAGAGCTCTTTACCACAGAAGTTAGCTCCGTTGGTGCCACCTTGCTGTGTTCGACTTTGCTTGATTTTTGGAACCCGGGATTCAATACCCTTTCCCTTGCCTACATCAGCATCTGTTTTTTGGCGGCGGGAGGTTGTATTGATATCATGGCTCGGATCGTAGCTTCTCAGGAGGAGACGACGGCGGCAAGGATGGGGAATAAGACCAAATGCGTTTGCGCTCTTGCCACCCCCGGTCTGTGTCTAGTGCTCCCATGCTCCTACTTTTTTGGCTACCCAAACCGTTTAATTTTTTATTTGGCGATGCGTGGCTGTGTTGGTACCTTCGCAGGACGAATCGCTTGGCAACGCGTGGTTACATCATGGGCAGACCAGGTGTACGCTTGTTATGAGAAAATTGTGGGGAAGTAGGACCCGGGAGGACGGCACGCCCCCCGTGCAACTGGTGGTACGACGCGCCGTCCGCCATAGAAGGACAGTTAAGCCAGGTTCCAAAAGCAGAAGGTTGTGGACATGTATTTAGGCCCTGACGCAACGTCGGCACATGACACCTTGCACAAGGCCCTAACCTTGTTGGCACCTTGCACGAGGTTGAATGTACACAACCTTCCACTTTTAATCTGTATTGTGTGCTCTTTGTCGGGCGTTTCTCTCTAGATGTGATGTTGACCAGCAATGCCGTACTACGATTGCGTGCCGGAACATGCGCCAGACAGCTTTACCCTAACCACTTCGGTGGAGAGCGGGGTTCTGGTCGATACGCTGTCGGGAGTGGAGGGGGGGCTCTTGGCCCATGGCGGTGCAGGTGGCGAGAACGCAGGGTCGAGGCGTTGCGGAGATGGCGTTTTGGGGGGAACATGGGAGTTGGTGTGATTGATTTGCTCAGGACACATGATCGGAGG